CATTGTGTTGTGAAGTGGTGCTTGAAGACTCTATCGACAACAGCTGCTTCACCATTTCGGATAGGCGATTTACTTTCTGTTCCAACTCAGCATGCTGGATGCTTCTCACTGTCATTCGTTCCGACAAATTCTGGGCGACCGTCACCAGATCCAACGCTTTGCTGTCTTCCACCATCGACGCCAATTTCACCTGATCATGGAGTGGACCGGGCAGACTTCGGATAAACTGCTGTTTCAGTAGGCGCTCTCTTGCGTTACCCTCTAACTCGGGGAGCCCAATCGTTATATGTCTGTCCAGCTGCTGGAAAAACACCATCAAATCCTCCTGTTCGTCCCATCTGGCTGCGTGAAATCGTTGCAGTGCTCGTTCTCTCTCCAGATCCTTCCCAAATTCTGCACACAAGGCAGCCCTCATCTCAGCGAACGAACAACCGGGTTTGGCCTTTCGAGTGAGCAGATACACCGCCTTGGCTCGTCCACTCAACCGTGTGCCCAAAGCAATTAGCAAATTTGCATCCCCCCTCACCCCCGTGCAAGCCGCAATTCCGTCGAACTCATCGAGCCACGCCTCCACGTCACCGGCCGCAAATTGCTCCAACCGGGTCAACTCCATCGCGATTGGTCACGGCACCAGTGTAGCGAAAACGACACGACAGGGGGGGGGTAGACGTTTATTGCACACCGAAAATGGGCACATGAGGGTCTCACACGCGCCACCGAATATCGACTAGATTTCCGTCCCACCACGCAACACAGGTACGGATGTTGGAGACGAGCCAGTCCTTTCGCCTCGGGAGTTCTGACTTGGAAGTCCCGCCTTCCTGTTTTTGCCTCGATCTCCACTTCACTGTACCCGATTTGGATCGGCCAGGAGTCGTTCGACAGCTCTCGACTTGCTTGTTCCGGGCTGTGTCAATCGGGTCGGCCTCGGTCCTGTGGGCTGCGCTAGCGGCGTATATGTCTGATTTATTGCGCTATCCACATATTCCCGCTCCGTAGTTCCGGGCCCAGGCTCGTCGCTAGCCGTCCTTCTCGATCCGCTCTCAGCTAGCTCCGAAGAGCTCCCCCGAGGCATTCTTGGAAGCGGCCCCTCTACAATATGACTCATCAGATTGAATATGATCTCGGGCAGATCATCAGTCGCCTGCTGTACTCATTTGACTCTACAACCAAGCCTTACTTTTTGCTTGAACCTGGTGCGGAAGTCAGCGTTCTACCCCGTTCTCTGGGGAAACGCCCACTGCAACCAGCTGGTCCAATGCTACAGGCGGCCAATCACGCTAATTTCGTTACTTACGACAGGAAACTACTTACCTTAAGCCTAGGACTACGACATAAGTCTCCCTTATTTTCACCATCGCCGATGAGCATGGATCAGGTCCTCTGTGGCCTAGATTTTGTGTACGTTTACATAAAGTATGTTTCGATGGCAAGTGCGAACCCCGATGGGCATACATCACACACCCAAATGGTATTTGTACGTTTTGCACATCACGGAATAACCAACAACCCGGACAAATGCAATCTTTTTTGGGCACGTCGTTGAGTTTCTGAGTCACATGATCTATGGCGTTGGCATCAAACCTCTTCCCGATGAGACAGAAGCGGTCCTAGACTACCCCATGCCACCATCTGTCAGAAGCCTACACCGATTCCTCTGCATAGTCAAATACTATAGCAGATGCATACCCAACTGTGTGGACGTCCGTTACATCGACGGTCCCACCAACACTGTTGCTGATGCATTACCGCGTGCTCAGCTAAATCAACTGTCAGCGACACCCATCGACCTGGAGAGAATATCTGCAGCACAAGCCAATGATCCTGAGCTAATCCAATTCCGATCAAATGACTCATTAAAATACGTGCATTTACCATTCCTATGGATCATAATCCCCTTTCGTCGTTTCTCTAATTACTTCTCACCTCGAGAATGTGATGTGGAATGTGATATTTTATATGGATCTGTTCTGGGGACGCGTCTGTTTCTCGTGTTTATTAATGTGCTTACGCCTTTGGTTGCCGCAGATTTGTTGCGGTTTACTGAATATGTTAAGATGTGGCTGACGATCACTGACCGCGGAGATCACGATGCACTTCAGCGAGAACTGGACAGGGCGTATGAATAGTACCTTCACAATCTGATCCATTTCAATTCCGGCAGGTGTAAGCTGGTTCACATTCGCCACCAGCCGAAATTTACATTCAAGCTAGGAGACCATGTTCTGCAGGAAGTCTCCCATGGGCGCGATCTTGGGGTACTAATCCAGACTGACCTGGGCTGATCAGAACAATCTGAGATGGCGTCAAAATTGGGAATCAACGCGTCGGCATGTTGCGGAGAGTATTCGGGTGGTTTGCTCCCTCTGTCTGTTCGCAGTTGCTTAACACCTACGTGTGGCCTCATGTGGATTACGCAGTCCAGGCCTGGCAGCCCTGGTACAAGGAAGATCTTGTAGTTCTCGAGACTCCACATAACGAGCCACGAAGCACGTCAAAATGTTGATCAATCTTGCTTATCAACTTAGACTGATGACCCTAAAATAATACAGTGACCGGTACCGGCGCCTACATGCCGACCTTATTAGGAGCTACCAGGTTCTAAGGAACCCCAACCACGTTTGCCTTCACCTACTACACCTGAGACACAACACGAATTTGAGGGGCCACCAGTTCAACTTAGCCACGCAATATGGTCGGCTAGAATGTCGACGGAACATTTTCTCTTCTTGTATACCATCCATGCAACGATGTGCCAAATTACGTTTCTTCTGCCCCGAATTTACCTTTGTTTAAAAGCGCCTTGACGTTATTCTAACCTACCTACATTACGATACATAGTCTGTGTTCTTCGTTAGACGATATAATGTGATGAAACTTGTACTACCAGAATTATCCTACCCAACTGAGTTTGACCCTTTCTGCATGCTACTGTGTTAACTCTATGGTGAGTCCACCACCACGATTTTCATTTTATCACTGTTTTCTATTCACCATAATGTGGTTATCATTCTGGGCATCCTAGGGATTTGCTAAGCATCCGCTTATTTGTCTGTAATATACCATTGTTTAACTGACAAATGGATCCTCAGAACTTCGAGGTGCAGAATTTCTAACAACTAAACTAAGTGTTGCTCACGGGTCTCAGCGGTTTGTTGATCAGGGTGTCAGACTTTAACCATTAGGTCCCAAATTTTACATCCAGCTCAGTATATCACTACCTGATGAGTCCAACCGAGGACGAAACTGATCATGGAGTGTCAGCGTTGGAAGGGAGCGACACCGAAACCCTCCATTGCAGGTTACAGCAGTACAATTCAGCGAAGAAATCTTTTCGATAATTCTAATCAGGATGATGTTTACATAAAACTAGTTAACAACTTACAATATTCTAAAAAAATGGACTAGTGTTGGTCAATTTAAAACAGGCTAGCCGAGC